ATTAGAACTAGCAGAAATAGGGGCTCGCCACACCCTGTCTCTTATACACATCTAGATGTGTATAAGAGACAGGTGTGTGTGTGTGTGTGTGTGTGTGTGTGAGAGAGAGAGAGAGAGAGAGAGAGATGCATGGAAAAGAAGGGGCATGGAAAAGGGGGGCCATCAAAACAGGGGGCTGGAAGGCACAGTGATGGTTTAACGACTGCTTTCTGCGAAGCTTCATGACTACCATCTTGCGCGCGGGATAGAGAGAACTTACGGCCACTCTGGCTGTATTTGGGGGCAACTGGCAGTCCAAAAACAGCAAGAATGACCGTATGTACTATTCAGGGGCCCCACTGCCCACAGATCAGTGACCCACAGACAGGGCCTGCTGGCTAAATCCAGAAAGAGTGGGGAGTTCAGAAACAGTGAGGCTTCAAGATCTATATTGTACTTCCCCCCTTAGCGCAGAAAGAATGGGGCTAAGCCCCCCCGGCCCCGCCCCCCCCAACCGTCCATCACCCCCCAACGCAAGGTCCGAGACATGCCTACCTCTTCCCTGTACTCCTCTTTCTGTACTCCATTATTCAACAGCACATTACCCTTTTGAACGCGGCGGAACCGCACTGACACCAAACAGGGTGTCACTTGGGTGGGGTGAGGTAGAGATGGAGGTGGTTGATGTGGGCTGAAAAGTGCAGAAACTGACAAACAGGTTTGTCAGCCCACTCCCATCCCTCCTGCTTACCGGCCACGCATCGGATTGGGGCAACCTTATCTTGACTCTTCTGAGAATCTCACTGTCGTTCTTTTCCCCGGAAAGGGGGGAGGAGGAGGGAGGAAGAGGGGAGGAAGGGGGGGGAAGGGGGGGGAGGAGGGAAAGAAAGTCACCAATACGCTGAATCATGAACTAAGAAAGGACAGAGAAGAACTTTGGCCTGCAGCCAGCAATCATATAGGTCACAGGTTCAAACCCATGACAATGGATAGACGGATGTCGTCAGCTACCTCTTGTGGCATGGAAAAGACGCAGGCCACCATTCTCATGCATGTGAGGCCCCTGAAGTCATCTTCTCTAAAACTACTCTGCAAGCTCAAAATCATTTTCTTTTCCCAGATGCCAGCTGACCATTCACTCGTACTGCAATGAGCACCATACGTGTAGCTGCCACTCAAACCGCAATGAGCACCATAAGCTTCAGTTGGATTCAATTGGGTCCATTTGCGTCCAATTGGGGTCCAATTGGGGGTCCAATCGGGTCCAATTGGGTCCATTTGCGTCCAATTGGGTCCAATTGGGGGTCCAATCGGGTCCATTTGCGTCCAATCGGGTCTGGCTGCGTCAAATCAACTGGGTGCAATTCTGTCCAATGGATTTAAACAGACACTTGGGTCCAATTGGGGGTCCCAATTGATTCAATCGCGCCCAGCTTAAGCGTCCGTCCAATTGCGTGCAATCGATATACACAGACAGTCCTCCAGCTGCCCCTAAACTCCGGTCTTCATTATTTTTACCGAGAGGCTGTGAGAGCTGCTGCACTCAGGGGTTTTTCGGAGCTGTGCGCATACATTCATTCATTGTGACATGGTGTTAAAATGATAAAATATAAGGAGGATATGTTCAGTAAAAGGGACGCTAGAGGTTCTACATCTTGAATGCCATTTTTATTTTTATTTTTATTTTTTCTGTCAGAGTCCAGACTTTGCTGCTCGATCGAGTCTCTGGCTCGAAAGAGCAAGCTGGGAATTGTTGATTTTTTTTATTTTTTATTTTTTTTCAAAGGACTTGAGAAGTTGAGCGTATGGTATAATCTAACAGCGCACAGACAATTTGATACACTTTGCAGAGCACAGACACAGACAATTTGATGTTTTCGGTTTATGGGTCCCATCCTTATGCAGGGGCCATGCTAATCTTTTCTGAATTCGATCGATTTTTTTTTTGTTGTTGTTGTTGTTTTTCTAAAATTTGGACCATTTTCTCGATTAGTGTGTGTTGTCCTTGCGCACGAGCCATGGTAACCTTCTTTCTCTGTATCGTTTCCAATCCTTTTAACGGATGTCCCAAAGGACGAATTGAACGTCGAATTCGTTCGAATTTTAACTTTGATATTTTCGATTTATATGCATCTAATCGGACTAATCCTCATGCAAGGGCCATGCTAATCTTCTTCGTATTCGTTTGATTTTCAAATCTGATGTTCTCTATTTGTGGGTCTCATCCTTCCGCAGGGGCGCCAATCTTCCCTGCATTCGTCCGAATTCTTCTTTTTTTTTTTTTTTTTTTTGTATTCGTCCGTCCGATTTCTAACCCTTGATGTTTTCGATTTATGCATCTCATCCTTCCCCGCAGGGGTATATCGAGTAATATCAATAAACTCAATTTACAAAATGAATAAAGCAACTATAATAATCATATTTTAAAACGAAATAAATTCAAATAATTGCTTAACAGATGCCTGGAAAGATAATGTGATGTTTTCCTGTTGCTGGACAAGCATGAACTGTGTAAGAAGGAAAGCAAGACGAACTCCGATTTCAACAGATGAGCAGGGCATGGGCGCCTACACACTGACGATAAGTACCATGTGGCTGAATGGTACACATACCTAATGATACAACTAAGTATTGATATAGATAGATAGATAGATAGATAGATCATGCAGCCAAACTTCGAATCATGATATATATATATATACAATTATGTTAGGGGCTGACACCCTTTGAAAAAACAAAAACGAGCCTACACACGGCAAGACTGACATGGCAGAAACACCACCACCAAGCTGATTACGCCAAAACATGCACCTTGAGGAGAGATAAGCACTCACCTGTCTGTCAATCTCTCTGGATGTCTAGCTTTTTGTGTCTGTCAGTCCTCCGTCTCCTATTCCACCTTTTTTCATTTCCTCTCTCTCTCTCTCTCTCTCTCTCTCTCTCTCTCTCTCTCTCTCTCTCTCTCTCTCTCTCTCTCTCTCTCTCTCACACACACACACACACACACACACACACACACGCTCCGCACTCAGATACAGCGTTCAGAAAAGAGGTGACTGGTATGTGCAAAGCGAGTTGAGTCATAGAAGGGCACCATTGGAGCACATTCCACGACATTGCACGCTGATGCCCATGCTACTCAAGAAAATGCGAGTGGATTGATTCTGTGAGGGAGAAAGCCAACCCAAAACCCGCAAACAAATATTCACACAAAGGAACGTCTACCGCCCATACCGTTTACCCATAAAGACTGTTGACAACAACACAGTAGAACCGAATGGACTTCAGAGTTCAGGCTGTCTATTGTTTTGTTTTCTTGTTTTTCAGACTTTTAAACACTTTTTCTTTTTTCTTTTTTTCTTTTTTTTGATGGTTACAAAAAACTGCACGGTAATTCACAAAGTCACATCAGGGTGGTTATACCCTGGGGAGCAAACAGTTGTGCTTGTCTTAGTTCAAACTTTCAAAGTACTTCTACACAACGGCAACTACGAACACAAACTTCTGCTAACTGGAGGGTCGCCGTCCTGCTGCAAGACTGATCTTGCTGCAAGCATTCATTACCCACAGACTGCTGTTAACTGGCGTGTCGTCGTCCTGCTGCGAGACTGATTGCTGAAAGTGTTACACACAACAGCCTATGCAGTAGTCCAATTGCTTAACACAGCCAATGGTGGATTTCTCTCCGTTTGCACACGGGGCCAACGTGCAGACCGTCGTTATCTGCGAAATCGAGAATCGAACAACTAGCCCTGTAACCACCGATCTTTCTCACCTTTTCTTATACACACAGGCCTTGAGTCGAGGCCATTTGATCCTCTCCTCACTGGGACTGTTCTTCACCTTCTGAAGCTCAAACCAGAGAAACATCTTATTGGAGTCATCCTTCTTAGTTAGTTTGAATCCCAATCTTGATAAAGCCTTGACAAACAACGCCGGATCTGACCCCCCATGTGCTGGATCGAACCGACTTTTCACTTCCGCAATAAGCAGCCATCCTCCGTCTTTCAAAACTCTGTGTGCTTCTCGTAGATAGTCTCCATAGTTGACCCCCATAAGCGAGAGGCAAAACACGGCCACATCCACAGATGCATCATCTAAAGGCGTCTTTGCCATGTCACATGCGACGACTTCCGGAGATGCAGCAACTAGGTCGAACGAGTAGACTCTGTTTGGCAGAGTCTTTGCAAGCCTCGCATCGCCACAGCCAAAATCGGCAACGGTCAGGGATGCCCCTCTAGCTCGCAGCCACTTCTCCATCACCTCGACTGGTAGTTTTGGCCATTGCAACATCTGTGCTTGATACCCTGCATGATAATTAACGAAAAGAGATGGGTTCTTTTTGAAAGTGTTCAATGCTTCATCTCCCCTTGAAGTGTAGAGTTTCTCGTTCAGCATTCGGAACTGACCTCCAATCAAATGCGCACGCATCTTCTCCAAAATGCCAGGACGTTTCCCTGGGACGATGCCTAACGTGCCTGTACTCTCGCTCAGAGGGGCGTGATCGCCTTCATTTGCCGGAGCAGACCCGTTTCCATTTGCCTCGTCTTCTGTGTCAGTCGAACGTCCCGTGACCCCTTTACTTTTGGAGTCTTCTGAAACTGGTTGTGTTCTCCTCTTCTCCTTGAGTTTTTTCTTCTTTTTCGCCTCCTGCTGTCCCAGCTTACCTTCATCCATATTGGCTGYCACACCATGCTCGCTGGCGATCTCATCGTCACCCACATCGCCAGAAGACCGTGTTCTCCTGTTCTCCTTGAGTTTTTTCTTCTTTTTGGCCTCCTGCTGTCCCAGCTTACCTTCATCCATATTGGCTGTCACACCATGCTCGCTGGCAATCTCATCGTCACCCACATCGCCAGAAGACCGTGTTCTCCTCTTCGCCTTCAGTTTTTTCTTCTTTTTTGTCTCCTGTTGTCCCCGCTTACCTTCACCCATATGGGCTGTCACACCATGCTCGCTGGCGATCTCATCGTCACCCACATCGCCAGAAAACCATTCCTGACCTTGATCTCCTTCCTCCTCCCTCGTCGTGACTTGATTGCGCTTGCAAGTATCTCCTTTCTGAACTTCAAATTCCGGAGTACCTGTAACTCTTCCTGTTGTTTCTGTGGTGGTATCACCGCTCAATCCAATGTTTTTGCCCTTCTTTCCCTTCTTCTCGAGTTTCCATTTCTTTACCTTCAACATCACTTGATTGTTCTCTTTCTCTGATTTCACCATTTCCTCGTAGCCAGTGTCGTTCTTTCGTAAATCCTCGTCTTCCGAGTCCATCTTTCCGCTCCCTTTGTCCAACGTGGTCGTTCTTTCGCAAATCCTCACCTTTCGGTTCCTACGGTTTTCCACATACGTACTCTGATGGTCTACCCTAGAGACAACTCTCTCTTCACACGCAACACCTTCCTTAACCTCTGTAAACATCTCACAGTCCTCATAGGCATGACATGCAGTGTTACAATCCTCTACCTCCGCCACGACACGTCCACTCCTATGCTTCCTCCTCTTTTTCTTTCTTTTACCAGTCGACTCGACATTACGCACATCATGTGCAATCTCCTGATCATTTCGTGGCTCGTCCTCCTTCCCAGAACCATCCACAATTCTTCTTTTCTTACCCGTGTTTCCTCCCGCGATACTAGAATCACCTGCCTTCTTTGCATTGCATCTGGCCTGAGATTCCTTTGTATCAATCACGGGGAGAATATCCAACCTGGAACTGCAATCACCACCCCCCTCCTGTGCCTTACAATCAAACTCTGGAATATCCAGATACAGGCTGGAAACATCGTAAACTGCCATTGCCGAATACAATTTTGCAGAATCGATGTGTTCAAGTGAATGCAGCCGTAAGGATTGGTAGGCACTTGCCGGTGGGAGAGACGACGAGGACAGACAGCGAAAGCTATGGCGAGTACCGCACCCGGGGCGAAAGACGACAACGTTGCAGATTAGAACTAGCAGAAATAGGGGCTCGCCACACCACTGTCGAAAACACGATTTTCGATAGTTTCTCGTGGCCACACAGCCTGTCGAAATGGCAGACGAAAAAAAAAAAAAAAAAAAAAGACAGGCTGTCTATTGAATGCGTGACCAGATCGGAAATCCATATCAACACACAGGAGAGCAGAATCTCATCAAGTCATAAGCGCAGACAGACTACAGAGCCATGAAAGTGCAAGTCTCTTCCCATCCCGTGTAATCTCTTCTTCTGCTTTTTAAGAGCACACGTGGATGTTAGAAACTACTTTGACATGCCAATCCATCAACCTTTAAAGTTTAAACATATCCTTCGACTTTCGAAACGCAAGTATATGTCAGAACCCACCCCTCCAAGTGGCAATCGATAAATCCATTCTACACAACAGGCCTAGCCCAATTGGGTTGGTACACCCCTGTTAACGGTTGAAATACAGACCGAGTCCGAAACCGGATGCAATCAGATGAACAGAACAAAACATTTCGGAATCATCTGGGGCCGATCCGTTCAATTGTGACATCTCAAGGCCATCGCCTTCGAAAAGAAAAAAAGAAAAAAAAAAGAAGAAGAGAAAAAAGAACAAACTATTCTTCTTCTGAAGAACACATTGATGTCCTCCTAACCTACCTCTTTGGTGGCAATAGTTTCATCCTTGTTCCTGTGTCAATCTTCTACTCAACCAGCCCCAGACATCAAGGCCAACCAGTGTACTTTATATAAACCACCCCTGAGAAGCATTACCTTTTTATCACCAGCCAGTTTCCAGGAGACACAAAAAAATAAAAAAATACAATATATATATCGTCAAATAGAACTGCCCGGTAAACCGTAGGCAGAGAGGGAGAAGAGGACAACAAACGAGGGGCTGTGACAAACTGTTTCGTCGGAGTTTCACCGACTCATCAGGAGGCTGAACCCTCAA